GCCCCCGCCTCCTCCATCGTCGTTGTCGGCCATATCAATGTCCGCGGCGGTGTGTCTGACGCGAAGAAATCGTCGTCGTTGCTGGACGTGCTGTCGAACAGGAAGTCTCCCTCGTCCCAACGCACGCGAGCCTTGCGAACGAAATCGTCCGCCCGCCGTCGTCGTGTCCGCGCCCCTGCACGCACGTCGCCGCGTGTCGCTCCTTCGGCCACTGCTCGTCCGCGACCTTCGGACCTGCGTCGGCGCCTGTCGGACTTCGCCACCCGACGCTCGACTCCCATGCAGGAAACGGCGCACAACCTCTCTCTGGCGTGGGTCAAATCCTCCTCAGTCACCATCACCTGTGCTCCACTGCCTCTGACGAGCTGATGATCCACGGGGACCTCGTCCTCCACGGCGTGCCAATAATGCAACCACTTCCCGAAGATGTCGGGCCTCTCACCAGTTCCATCCTCATGCAACTCAGGTCTATCGAGCAGCCTGAGGTTCCAGTGGCACCAGACAAGCTTCTCAGCCCGAGAGACCTCCAACCTGTTCCGAGACTTTGAATGAATGAAGCTCCAGCGAGACCAGGCTCTCTCGCACGGTGACCCCGTCACCCAAATGCGGATGATCCTGCCGGCGAACACGGCCGTGTGAGGAAACTTCGCACTCTTCGACGACAAAAAACTGGCAGGATGGTCAAAGGTATCCATCGCCCGTCGCATGGTGACGTCATCGAAAGGTGGCTCCCCTGTGTGGAACTTGCCATTGGCTCGACGGACCTCCCGGTGCTGCGGCGATCCCTCCGGATAGCCGAACTGGACAAGGGCCTCGACCAACGCCTGCTGCACCTCATCATCGTCAATAAGTGTTGGGTCCCGGAACTCGGGATCCAACATGGCTGCTCTGTGGGCGGGGGTCCGGAACATAGTGCGTCGCCTAGCAAACACCTCCAGAATAGCGTCCTGCTGGTCCCGATCGATGTCCTTGCAAGCGGACAAACAAGATGCAATCATTACCTCATAACGACGCAAAATCTTGCTGATCAGGCGCGTGTCACTGTCCACCAACCTCAACATGTCCATGATGGGCTTCAGCATGTTATACAGAGCTATCAGATCCTCCCACCACGAAGGAGACCCGATGCATGCAGTAACCTCCGTAGCGTCCTTGCGGATCTTGTTGGTGGACCAAACCGTCTCACGCCAGCGTTTCTGGCCTATAACCTTCGTCAGCTCTCCCCTCACGTCCACCAGCCGCTCCATCATGATGACGTTCGTTCCAAAACGCGTCTGTGTCAGCAGCAGAAGAGTCTTCTTCGAGTGCCCCTTCAGAATCTCTCGCGCGTGGCCATGGCGCTTAAAGAACCTCGTCACCAGCCTCGCGTGAGCTATGCGGGAAGCCACCCAATCAATCCCGCCGCTCGAGAATGAGGTCCATGACATGGGCGACGCACGGAATCCAGAAGATGTGTTTGATGCTCTCATCCTTCTGGAAAACGTCCATCGCTGCAACATTCACCCCGGCGGAGTCCGTCACGAACGCTGTGATGTCGCTCAAGTTCACGTCCAGGGACTTCACCCTGTTCAACCACGCGGTCGCGAGGGCATGGGCGTCCTTCTTGCCGCGCATGACGTCGGTGGCCACGTACGCTACCCCTGTCTCTGTCCCGACAAGGTAGTTGCACAATGTCTGACCCCTGATGTTGGTCCAACCATCCGTCATGATTGTGCAACCATGTTCTCTCGACATGTCGAGAACAGGGCGAACACACTTCTCGACCTCGGCATCCAGCTTGTCCAAGAGGGTCGTGCGCAGCATGTGGTAGGTGGGGAGTTTAGGAGTGGGCGCCCCGGGAATCCCTGGCGGGATGATCATCGTGAACATACGCTTGAAGCTTTCGAGCTTCGCGCAGTTGAACGGCATCCCGCTCTCGACGAGGAACCTCATGATGTGCAAATGCCACGCGCGCTCCAAAGGGTCCGAATAATACGACGTCACGGCCTGCTGGCGATAAGTCCCCCGGCCTCGTCCCGTCGTGGTTTGGCCACCGAGGACCCCTGCATCCAACAACCCACCAGGACTCGCGGGTGCTGCACTCTGGGCGACTGCAATGTCGCGCATGCAGTACAAAGGATCTAATGATCCGCTGAGCACAGGCGGAGCAGTGGCAGTCGTTGTCCGAATCGGGGTCGGCGCCGAATCGGCCAGCGGAGGGAGGACCTCCTCATCAGGCACCCCGGGCACCGCCTGTCCCCCGACTCGGGAAGGGGGAGCAGGATGTCTAGCATCTGAAGCCACGTGCGTGGGATCTGGTCTGTCCATCACACCGACATGGCCGACAACATGATCCCGTGCCGCTCTCGACGGCGGAGGCGGAAGCCAAGGGTGCTCCGACGAACGACGGGCAGGTGCGGCGGGTGCCACAGCACTAGTAGCCCGTGCGGCAGGTGACTGTCTGGCAGCGGTGAACACAGTGGCGAGTCCGGCCGAAGAGCCTGCATCCCTCCCCCACCTGCGACTGTCGACGAAAGCACGCGTGCTTTTCTCGTCAAATGCCGCAACGCCTCCACCCTCTCTAACAGATGGGGGCTCGTTGGCCGGCAATGACCGACCAACATGCTCATGCCGAGCACCCGATGTCCCGGCTACCGTAGGATGTGGCCGAGGTGGTGGACCTGCCTTCGCCGGCAGCGGAGCTGTGACCCCGTCAGTTGGAGCCGCAAGACCAGGCAATGGCGACGCACAAGAGGGGGCGGTCGTGGAAACGGGAGGCGGGACCGAGTCCTCGAGGTATCGCAACGGTGGCCACTGGAACCTTGGATGACCCGAATCTAAGCTCTGCAATGACTCGATGGCCGAAACGAACTCCTTCGGATATTTGGTCATGTCCTTCGCCCCGATGGCATACCACACCGCAGGAGTGGCCTCCTCGCATCGGAACTTCTCGATCTTCGAGAAGTGTTCCCTTGCAGCTTTGGCGCCCCCGCAAATAGAACGACCGCACAACCTGCACAGGCAGCGACGACCAAGCCTCCTACCCGCCGCCGTGGAGCCATCCAAATAACGACCTCTCGCGACGAAATGCCACACTGGATCGTCTCTCTTCCCGTAGACCTTCGCATCAACGTTGAAAGGCGACTTAAACGCCTTCGTGTTATGACCTTGCCTGGGGCCCGTGGAAGGGTCCGCCGGTGCCGGACCCTTGCCGCGGTCCTGCGACATGACGAAGGCGCGGAGCTTCGACGAGAGAAGACGACGGTTCGGGGAACTGAAGAGAATGCGAAACCGCGGAACACACCACCTGGCAAGCGAAGCGAAAATATTGAACGAAAAAAAAAACACAAACAAACAACAAAAAAAACAATCAAAACAATCAAAACAAAGAAGAAAGCTATGGCGCCACATATCATCATCATCGTCGTCATCGTCATCATCATCATCATCATCATCACCATCATCGTCATCATCATCATCATCATCATCGCTATCATCACCAACGATTCATCATCATCAGGCTGACATCAGCATCAACTTCAGCAATAATATTTAAATTCAAATGCAAGGAACATTAGTGTGAACGAAGAACACCGACGKCTAGCCAGCAACAGAAACCCACCTTYTAAMCAACACCGAAAGATACGACAGCACAACACTCCAGGTTAGACAGGGTCACATATATAGGACGGATATATTAAGCTCAGGAAAAGCTCAGACCTGGGACAAGAAAAAAAGTATAGGGGAGCAAGATAGCGACCAAAACAGCAAGCATCACATTATGGGGGGGAGAGAAATAGATAGACCATAGAATTTTCACTCAAGGGTAATTCATAAGACATCCAAGGACAGAGGTGGACACGACACAAGCAAGAGCCCAAGTAACAGCTCCAGCGAAAGGCCAGTCTAACGGCCTGCAGTGACTGCTCGTAAATGCTGCCCTCCCGGTAATTCAAGGCTTACACACCAAACAGAAAGCCACAGATCCTGACAGCTAGGAGTTACGCACAGTTTGCTCCGAAGACGCAGTAGAAGGTCTAGTGCACCCTTTGATGCAGAGTAAAAAAGGGTGACGCTGTAGATCATATGGAAGGAAAGATGCAGCAGGACGATTGAAAGAGTGGCCAATTCACGTGAGAAGGTTCGGGCCGAGACAAAAACGATGATACAAACTGAAATCCRCCGCAAATGCTGGAGGATCACACAGTCATGGACAGAGGATGAGAACCAACAAAAGAAGGCGAGACTGAGTTTCAGCAGAACGAGGCTGGTAAATGGCAAAGCGGCGGACCTGAGAGAAGATCGCATCTGTTGGAAAGACTGACACGACTCAAATCCAGGAAAGGGCTACCAGCAACAAATAACAGTGGGCGGGTAAAACATATGCTGACCAAACTACCACAAGGGAGACCAATGGCCGCAGCAACGGAGAGACAGTTCAGAGAGGAATGAAAGCGGTTCACAAAATACTGAAGGAAGTTGGACACAGGCACCGTGAGTTGAAAGGCTAAGTTGCTTAAAGGGACTTTAAGAAATGCTAGAAAGGATCTAGAGTGTGTGTTTCTGGAGAATA